ATAAAGGTGGCTTCAATATAAACTTAATATTTCAGCAAACATTTTTACATACATGACTTACAAACTTCTTCAGTTAAAAAAAAAAAAAACAACTTCTGAAATTCTTGGAACTGTCAGAGACTAAGCTCTGTAAAAAGGCAGAGGCTATCCCTATCTTGGTCATTAATATTTCCAACAATTAGAAACATGCCTGTGAAATAAGATACATTTAGTATTAGGTGAGTAAATGAACTGATGAAGAGAGAAAACATTGTCTCTCCAGCTTATTTCACCTGACTCTCAATGTGCAGGTTTCTGCTGGAAACAAGCTAGACTGCTTCCTCCTCTTCCATAGCTTTGCTTATCCCCCTCCTGCCTGGGGTGCCTGGCCCCTCGCCACTTTTTTTTGTTGTTGTTTTGAGACAGGGTCTCACTCTATTGCCCAGGCTGGAGTGGTAGAATCACGGTCACTGTACCCTCGACACCCCTGGGCTCAGGTGATTCTCCCACCTCACCCTCCTGAGTAGCTGGGACTACAGGCGTGCACCACCACGCCTGGATAATTTTTGTATTTTTTTTTCTAGAGATGGGGTTTCACTATGTTGCCCAGGCTAGTCTCAAACTCCTGGTCTCAGGTGATCCATCCACCTTGGCCTCCCAAAGTGCTGAGATTACAGGAGTGAGCTGGTGCGTCCAGCAGCCCCATCTGTTTTCTATCCAGTAATACTCAGGTTTCAAAGTCTAACTCAAATACTATCTCCTTATAAATGGTATTATAATCCACATGTGATAGGCACTAAACAAATACTTTAAAGTTCATTCTTTTTGTTTTGTTTTGTTTTTGTTTTTTGAGACGGAGTCTTGCTCTGTCACCCAGGCTGGAGTGCAGTGGCGCGATCTTGGCTCACTGCAAGCTCCGCCTCCCGGGTTCAGGCCATTCTCCTGCTTCAGCCTCCCAAGTAGCTGGGACTAGATGCACCTGCCACCACGACCAGTTAATTTTTTATATCTTTAGTAGAGATGGGGTTTCACCAAGTTAGCCAAGATGGTCTCGATCTCCTGACCTCGTGATCTGCCAGCCTCAGCCTCCCAAAGTGCTGGGATTACAGGCAAGAGTCACCGCGCTCGGCCCCTAAAGTTCATTGTTTAGAAAGTAAAGCATGCACATGAGAAAGGATAATGATTCTTTGATATTAATTCATCAATTTAAATAGTACGCAGTTCATTCATGGTATTATGATAGACGTTGTGATGGTTAACTTTATTTGTCAAGTTACTCAATAAGTAGGGTACCCAGACATTTGGTCAAACATTTTTCTGGGTATGGCCGTGATGGTGTTCCTGGATGAGATTAACGTTTGAATCGGTACACTGAGGGAAGCATGTGGTCCTCCCTAACATGGGTGAATCTCATCCAGTCAAAGACCTGAACAGAGCAAAAAGGCTGAGTAAGAGGAAACTCCTCCTGCCTGACTGCCTTGAACGGGGACACAGGTCTTCTTTGCCTTTTAACTGGAACAGAAACATTGGCTCTTCTTCAGTCTTTAGCCTGCCAGCTTTCAGACAGCAACTACACCACCACAGGATCTCCTGGGTCTCCAGCTTGTCAAACGCAGATCTTGGGACTTCTCAACCTCTGTAATCATGCGAGCCGATTTCTTAAAATAAATCTTTATTTCACACACACACACACACACACACACAGCTCCTAACTGGCTCTGTTTCCCTGGAGAGCCCTCATACAGATATTTATTCTTACAACTGAGCTTTTGTTCATATTACACAGCAGCTCTGATAAGCACCTGGAACATGGGTATTATATGGTACTTAACAAGATTAAATTATTGTTCTTCCTGAGCATTTTTCCAGAAGTATTAGAAAAGACATCCACCCTTTCTCTAGGATTACCCTCTCTGCCAGGAACCATTTACCTACCAAGTGGATGAGAATAGGAGCCTATATGAGAACAAAGCAGAGTAGATGTAGGCAGAGCAAAAAGATGGCGAGAAAGACACAAAAACGGAGTAGCACAGACAGAAATCAAGCCCCTAAATCCAGCTGTATCCACAAGTCTTTGACTTCTCAGTCATGTGAGCAAATAAATTATTTTATAAGTTAATTTGAATTGGGTGTTACTGTTTGCAAATAAAGTCTTGAATAATACAATACTTCCCTGTGCAAACTGGAGAGCCTACCATACATGTGCATGAAAAGGCTGTCACGGTGGCTTTATCAAAAGTATTGTTTAAGGTCAAGGGAAAGCTAAAACTTTAACAAAATAAAATGTATCAACACCAATATGTCTACTTGCCAAATTGAAGTTGGTGCTACATAGTTCCCATGGACTCTAGTAACTTAATTCATAAGCTATTATATTTGTATACTCAATGGAGAGCATGAATTTTCCATTATTAATATTTCTAAACTTATAACTACCAAGAGTTATCTTCAAAGATGAAACTCCTTGCCAAGGTTCTAGTTTTCCAGAGTTAAGGAGGTTAAATGAATGTGTTACTTACATTTCATTTTTTAAAATTTTAACATTACATCTACTGAGCCCTTACTATATATGCCAGGAACGCACAAAAAGCATTATATATTTTAACGGCCAATTCATTTCTATGAAGTATGTACCATTACTATTATTGCCCTATTACAATCTTCAAAGATTAATGAGATTAAAATAATGAGCCTAATAATAACAGTCATGGTGCTAAACACTTGTCAAGAGGATACTATTTGCCACATACTGTACTAAGTGTTTCAAAAGAAGCATCCTATTTAATCTTTACGATTACCTTCTAAGGTAGGTACTATTATCCCTGTTCTACAGATGAGAAAACTAAGGCTTAGAGACTGAAATGCAGACCCAAGGCTTATACACCACAACCGAATCAGTCTGAAAGGTTTGAAAACATTCCGCATCACATCCAAATAAATTGCATACCATTATCTGAAGTGCATTTCAAGTTGTGTAATAAAAGCTTGAACTCATCTACATTTTTAATGCTCTTGAACTGCCATGCGGTTTACATTTACATTTTCCTCTTTAATTCCTCATCTCTGGAAAAAGTAAAGACTCACACTAAAGGAAATATTTATTCCAGCTCAATGAGTAACACAAGATCACTGATTTAGAGTTAGCACTTTTTATTTCACAAACTGTTCCAAAACTGGGCAGACTTCAGACATACAGAAATGTGGTTTCAGATTAACAGAGCTTTAAAAAAGCTATTAGTAAACTAAAAAGCTATTAGTGAAGTCCTGTTGGAGTAAATCTGATCCCTACTGTGTGGAGGAGACATCTCAGTCCTGAAAATGCCTCTCTACAAGTTTTTACATAGCAGATATCCAAAGCACGTATTTTCTTTTTGTTTTTGTTTTTTTCTTAAGAGACAGAGCCTTGCTATGCTGCCCAAGCTGGCCTCAAACTCCTGAGCTCAGGCAATCTTCCAGTCTCAGCTCCCCAAATACCTGGGACTACAGGCACGAGCCACTGAACCCAGCTCTCAAGACACATCCTTTAAATATCATATTTTGTACAAAAACTACATTTAAGGCATTTTCTTGTCAGAAAGATGCATATAACTATATATGAACACTTTTAGAAGCATAAAGTACACCAGAAACATTAATCCCATTAAAGAAGGGTATAATCTTTAATTAAATTCACATGAGTGTAGATCACAGACATACACTCACATATAACAAACATAACTGAAAAGTTACTTATTGATACTTTATCACTGAGCAAACTCCACATGACAAAGTTTCAAATAATTGTCTTACTTTGGGCATCAAAAGTCCTCTTACAGTACATATTAATTATCAGAGCTGTCTCTGAAACCAACTGCAGAAGTGTAAAAAGGAAAAAAGAAACAAGAGGCTGGCCTAGAAATCAAGCCATTACAGATCAAGCTCCAGTCAATCAAGACAGGCTCCCCCAGACAGTGGAAGGGTCGACACAGAACACCCACACACTTACTATGAGGTACCATCCTCAACCAACTGGAGTAGTTGAGTGCTTCATCTATAGCAACTGGCAATTTCAGTTATTTGGGTTTTCTTTAATGTGAACCTAATATTATATGAGAGAGTTCAAACTCTTAACATTGGCCAAAATCAGAATGTAGTTACATCTGGTTTGTTTATTATGATTTTTTTTTTTAAATGAGAACAGCAGGTCTCAAGAAGTTGAAACAGTCGAGGGAAGCATTAAGTTAGGCTGTCATTCTTATAAACCTGCCAAACCGACCCAGACTGTGGTCGAGGCCCTGAAGAAAGCCATGATCACGCAGGCATATTAATGCATGATATACAATCTAGCATTCGTTTAATTTCACAAAATCTTCTTTAATATCGACATATGGCATATACTTTTTGGAACTAGCTTTGATAAAATTGACAGTGTCCCCTCAACTATAAGGTGAGATTTTGGGGTTTCGCATGTTTGCATTAGGTGCTCTCAGTAGTCATCCTGCTGTGTGTTTGCTCTATGAGCAATGGAGTAAAAGAATACAAAACCCCTTTCTCTTGATGAATACTCATTACCTGTTCTGCCACCTCCACCCAACCCCTGAGAAAGTCCTGCTCAGAACTAAACCTCAGTTCTATTCCAAGAGTTTGGAGAAAGGCATTACCTATATCTCTATTATTTCTGAGTAGAGCCAGAAGTCTCAATTTCATGTTCCAGTAGTCTTGTAATATTGATTTCAATCATAACCCTCACCCCTTGAGCCATGAACACCTTTAAATCTGCATAACTTCAAAATCATGCTTCTGGCAGAAAACAGATTAAGCTTTAAATGGATGTCTTCAAAGATGAACTGAGATTCTTCTGGGTCTTCTGCAGTCTAACAGTTCCTGCATCTGTCTCTAAACTTTTTTTACAATGAGTACACAAGCATATGTGTATAAATATAAGGACATCAAGACCCCAACCCCATCACTGAACCTCGTTTGACAGAAGCTTCCTGGGTAGCCTACACTTCCCTGCATGAATACAACTGCATGATACTTACTGGGGAAGTAAGACATCTCGAATGAGAGCCAGAAGATTGCTGTCAGAATCGACACTGGCCTTCTCCTTGCCATCCCCAAACTCCTGGTTCACGAGTAGAGATGTGGTTTCTGAGAGCAACCGCAAGCTAAAGAGTCTCCACTCCACTTGAAAGAAAAAAAAATGCCAAGAATGTGACTCCATAGAGATAGAATGAAAACAGAATGTGTAGCTAATGGAATTCTTGCTGGTGTCATCACACTTACCATTTTGGCTTTGAACCAAGGACACCAAGGGTGGCAGGATATAATCAACAACCTAAAAGGAAACATGTAAAAGACTTAGTTCAAATCTCTATGAACACAAAACTGATATCAACCACTATCTATATTTTTTCCACAGACAGAATCCCTAATCAAAGGAGTGAAAAAAACAATGGCTAAGTTTATTCTGGATTTCAACTCTCCATGACATTTAATAAACCACCAAGCTCATTTAACTCTAAAAAAGTCCTCAGGTCAAAATGGCATTATGAAAATCAAAACAGTAATTTCTCAAAACCTTCAGGGTCTATGAAAGGAACTTAGAATATAATGCAAAATCTAGTCGGCACAGGTTGGCATTAAACCATCAGATTAGTTATGTATAAGCTGGTGATCATTACTTCAAGTTTAACCTAAACAACAATCAAAATGTTGGGGAAAAAAGAGACACATAGTCCCCACGTTTTATCAAATACATCAAATAACTATGACAAGTTGGTCTTGGTTATTTTTAGAAATAGACCCCAAAGATGTAAATCCACTAGACAAATCACCTCTGTGAGTTACCAGTTGTATCAGAGAACAATCAATATGGTTTAAAACTTAACCCCAAAAGACAAGTATTTTCCTCCAAAATACCAAAAAAGAAAGAATCCCTACGCTCATCTAATGATGAAAACTACTGTTTCATTTGATGAACTATTTTACTGACAACAAACAAAATTCCCATTGTTTGTGTACTTGTTCTCTCTATACTGATAAAAGAGCAGGAGAATCTGTGCACCGCCAAATGACATCTTGCTCTCCATACCAACAAAACAATGCCCTGCAGAGGCAAGAATCTCCATACGTGATTGGTGGCCCACTAGTATTAACCTGTTCTATTTCCACTTGACATAGGAAATTTCTATGTGATAGTATATCTCAATATTTTTACAAGGACCCTAAGAACCAGGGGTGTTTAGTTCACCCTCTTCCACTAAGTGATGTCACATCACATCACTCAAAGCACAGATATCATGCTTCACCAAGGTATTTTGAGAACTCTAAACTTATAGTTATGTCTAAAGAAAAAACTATGCAAAGGAAAGAAATATATGCTGCTATCAATACTACCAACATGATCAACAGCTATCTTAAAGGTTGAATAGTGTATATCACGAGAGGAGTAAGACTGAAACAAATGATCTAAGTGCCCAACTCAAGAAATTTAAAAACAATTAAATGGTCAAAAAAGCAAGCTTGGCTGGGCGCGGTGGCTCAAGCCTGTAATCCCAGCACTTTGGGAGGCCGAGACGGGTGGATCACGAGGTCAGGAGATCGAGACCATCCTGGTGAACACAGTGAAACCCCGTCTCTACTAAAACTACAAAAAACTAGCCGGGCGAGGTGGCGGGCGCCTGTAGTCCCAGCTACTCGGGAGGCTGAGGCAGGAGAATGGTGTGAACCCGGGAGGCGGAGCTTGCAGTGAGCTGAGATCAGGCCACTGCACTCCAGCCTGGGCGACAGAGCGAGACTCCGTCTCAAAAAAAAAAAAAAAGCAAGCTTGTCAGAAGATGAATACAGAAAAATCAACAGTATTTATGAGACAGAGTAGGAATGAGGCTTGGCTCCAGCTCAACCCTACTAGAGCATTCTTTCATACATTCCCAGTGATCACAAAACCCACACCACTACCTCATTGATGCCATACCCGCTAACCCCAAGGCTTTAGTCATGCTATATTGTTCCACTGAGCTCTCAAAATGTTTAACCATGCCTTTTACTTAAAGAATTCCAGGAACTGGCCTTAGGAGATCCAAACTATCAAACCAAGTTGTGGAGTGTCCCACCTCAGGAAGGAATGTCAGCCTTGATGCTCCTGGCCAGACCGCCAGGTGGCCCATTACTCAAGATGACCATTGTAACCACATACACTGCCCTACACACCCTACTCATCATGTGGTTTGCCCAGTCCAGCACGCATACCCTACCCCTCGTATCAATTTCCATGCTTTGCCTAATACAAAATCCCAACCAGCTCTTTTCAGAGAGTCAGTCAGGGAATTATCTTTCTCTCTCTCTCTCATGCTGCTTCCCTCATCGCTGGACATAAGCTCCAATGAAGCCTTGTCCGGGAGAACTCTGTCGGCCTTATGTCCTATTGCATTAAGAGCCCAAGAACTCATGGTCAGTAACATATTCATTCAGGGCTTATCTGGGATCACCAGACATGGGGAACTTTTTTCTCCTCTATGGAGGGAGGCTTGTGAGCCAGCAGGACAGCGGGACGTGACCCCTTCGTGGCTGACAGGAAGTCACCTGAAGTTTTGATTCAGTGCTGCTATGACTGGTGAGTTCTTCCTCCAGCCTCCCTGAGATTCCTCACAACCCACCCCAGACAATGCTTTCCCTTCCCTCCTGGTCTTCTATTTGTGGTGTCTTTCTTTTTCTTTCTTCTTCCTTTCTCCTTCCCTTCCTTCACTTTTCATTAACTTCATTGTTTCAGCCTAAATAGACACCCGTGTGGCACTGATTCAGCCTCAGTAGACACCCACGTGGCACTGGTTCAACCTCAACAGACACCCATGCAGCACAGGCCAAAACGGTCATTCAGTTCAGCTGGTAGGAAACTCTGTCTGGCACTGGGCTCTGTAATTTTCTTTAAGTACGTTCCCTCCCTTTGCCACGCCTTGTGGGAAAGGGAAGGCTGTGGACTTTGTCCTCTGTCTGTTCAAGCCTGCAACAAACCCTGGGTGCTATCTTTGTGAAAAGAGGACTGACAGCACATGGGTCCTGAGTTTGTGTCACTCCCGTCCTGATCCATTTTTCCTTCTTGTGTGTTTCATTTGACATCTGATTCCCCCATGCAGACTGTCGGGTGGCATCTTGCAAAGATAAGAGGCTTTCCTTCGGTTCCTCCATAAAATGGACAAAAGATGACTTTCTCTTGTAATGCAGCTTGGCCCCCACAGCTATGCTTCAGTGAGCAGAGTCAACAAAAGCTGCTTTGCTCTTCCAGAAGCTACACAGAAAGGGAACCCAGAAACCTGGCATGCCAGCAAAAGGTTAAGGATTTCTTACCAGCCAGGCTTCTGGCCTGCTTCTCTGTGCAAACCAGTTGAGTGAAATGGTAAAGATAATTGTTTGTCTCAAGGCCTATGACTCCTATAAGCCTGCTGTTTGGCAGACTCGTCAGTTACAAACATTGCTGCAGGTCCTTGAAACAAAAACTGGATGAGGTTTCCCTTTCATTTTATTTTCTGTCTTTGGGAGCTTGACCTTATGACCATGGGGGGTTCCTTTTCTTGCTATCTAGCATCCAGAAGGTGGGAATTCCGAGGCTCATGTCAGGTAGCCAGTCTGAAAGAACCTGGAGTCTGAGACACAAGCACAAATTCTTTGTCCCAAATGTGTCAAAAGCCCTTGGAGATGAGTTCTGTCTTAAAAGGTCCCACCCCAAGGGGCTTTTGTCATCTTTTGCTATCTTAAATCTATTTCAGACAGTAAATTCTTAGAGACCATGGAGATGCCTCCTCTACCCCCTCTCTAGAAATACCACTTGCTTATATTATAAAAACCTGAAAAATTACCATCTGAGCTTTAAAGCATTTTAGGATTGAGTCGCTATTGAAACTAAGTACATCATTAAAGGAAAAGCACTTTTCTCATTCTCAACAATTTTTAAAAGGTTTAAATTAAAAAGAAGGATGCATAAGAATGTCATGGCTAGCCTTACAAATTATCTTGAGCAGGTGAAATTCCTTGCAAGCTTGAAAATGGCTACTCGAGTTTCCTTCTGGGAAGACCAATGACAACAGCCTCATGCTGTAGTTCAGTGGCTAAGGCTGTGCCTTTTCACAATGGCTGCCTGGGTTCAATACCTGGCATAGAGAATGAGTCCTTTCTGGTTTTATATTTGTGTGACCTTTGCCATTTATTATTTTCCCCTCCATGAACAACTTCTGACTTCCTGTCTTGAATTTTCCTTTCTCTGAGCTACCTTTGAGGTGATTCTAAATCTTATAAAAACTGCTTGCCCTAAAAGGTTAGGCAAGGACAATAACTTGTTCAGCAGGAAGTAGCTTCCGAAGATGAGATCTTCGGCCCTTTCTCCTTAAGCATAAAGAAGGTGAAATTTCTCAGCAGGGAATGAGACAGCAGGAATGGGGCTTGGCTTCAGCTCACCCTCACCAGAGCATTCTTTAATACATTCCCACTGATCACAAAACCCACACTGCTACCTCACTGATGTCTTACCCACTAATCCCAAGGCTTTAGTCATACTCTGTTGTTCTTCTATGCTCCCATAAAGTTTAACCATGCCTTTTACTTAAGGAATTCCAAGAACTGGCCTTAGGAGATCCAAAATAAACCAAAGTTGTAGAGTGTTCCACCTCAGGAAGGAATGACAGCCTTGTTGTCATTGGCCAGACCACCAGGTGGCCCATTTCTCAAGATAAACATCATAAGCAGTTGTGCTGACCTATATACCCTACCCTTTACGTTCTTTGCCCAGCCTAGGCTGCATACCCTACCCTATTTATTAATTCCTATGTCTTGCCTAATAAAAATTTCCAGCCAGCTCTTCAAAGAGTTTGTCTGGGAATTCTCTCTCATGATACTTCCTTTATGCCCAGGCATAAGCTCCAATGAAGCCTTGTATGAGAAAACTCTTTTGGCCTCATGTCAATTTCTACTGCACTGAGAGCCCAAGGACCATGGTCAGTAACATTTATATGTACCTACAACAACCAACTGAATAACATAATTCAAAAAAATTCCATTTACAACAGGAATATTGTGATCTTAGCAAGAATATATATATGGATATAAATGTATGTGTGCATATATGTGTGTGTATACGCATATGAATATATTTACAGGTACTATAGTCGTTGATGGACTTCTGGGTTCTAGACCAACATGTAAAGAGTTTGGAAATCATCACAAGCAACCATACAACAAAGAAAAAGCTAAACAAACTAAAAATCAACAACTTTTCTTAGATAGGTCAAAGAATTAAAGTCATAGGGAAACCACCATCCTCAAAACTGGAGGGACAAGCAAATTCAG